TTTTCATGATTTTACATTTAAAAAGGCAAAAGTTTTTTTATATTGATTTTGAAACTTGCCACTTCATTCATTTACTATTTCTTCTTTTAAAAAAAAAATATTTATATATGCATATGGGAGTTGAGATGCAAGCTAGAGGTGATGGAATGGAAGGATACACCAGAGACAGAATGGGGACTAGAACAGGTAGATCTACTGAAATACACTGCAGAGGGGAGAAGTGGGCAATTCAGGAGAGGTTTGCTGTGCCATGTGGGTCACATCCCATGTGGGTCAATTCCATGCTGCAGTAGCTGCGATAGTTTCATAGTGCTGTGACTTAATCCTGTGCCACCAGGGAGGCCTCTCTTATTATTTCTAACTTCATGGTGGAATCTTGAGAGTCTTCTGAATATATTATCATGTCATCTCAAATATATAACAGTTTCACTTCTCATCTGAATTTCTTTTACTTCCTGTTTTATCTGATTGCTCTAGATAAAACCTCTGATACTAAGTTAAACAGAAGTGGTGACAATGTGCATCTTTGTCTTATTCATGACCTTAAATGTAAAATTTTCAATATTTCATCATTAAGTATTATATTGACTGCAGGTTTGTGATACATGGCGTTTATTATTGTTGTGGCAGGTTCCTTGTATTTCTATATTGTTTAGAGTTTTTATCATAATTCGATACTGAATTATATGATTTCAGTCTCTTGTTGTTGCAATGTATTAAATTGGCTTATTTATGAATATTAAACTATCCTAGCATTCTAATGATAAATTATATTTGATTGTGATTTATAATCATTTTAATGTATTGTTGAATTCAAATAGTGAATGTGTTGAAGATTTTCACATCAGTAATCATCATTATTGTAATTTTTTTGTGCTGTCTTTGTCTGGTTTTGGCATTGGGGTAATATTAGCATGGTAAAAAATATATTAGGGAGCATACTTTTTGAATTTTAAAAAAAGTTAATATATTCATTACATCATCCTTCATTTTTGTACAATATGATTTTCCAGTGAAATTCCCACCACCAGTTCACCCGTGTACCATCACCATAGTCCCTTGTGCTCTTCCCACCCCTGTCCTGGTTCTTCTCCCGCCTCCTCCCTACAGAATGTCTCTGACCTACAGTTGCCTGATGATACTGAGTCTTACTTTATTTCAGTTTTTTTTTTCTGATTGCTTATTTACACTTCTTGACTTTTTAAAAATAATTTGAGTGCAAGGTCTTTAAAGTTGTGATAGAAATTACTTTATAAATTTAATTATAAATTCATTGGATGCTGAGCTTTTATTTTTTTATAGATATTTCTGGGTACTGTTTCAATTTCCATGACAGATATTGGTTCATTCAAATCTTCTGATTTTGGTTTAGTCTTGGTGAACTATAATTTGTAGAAAATTTATCCATTTTTTCCAGGTTATACAATTTATTGGTATATTGTAATTTATAGTAATCTCTTATGATACTTTGTATTTCTATGTCATCTATGGTGATGTCCTCTCTTTCGTTTCTAATTCTGTTTATTAATGTTTTCTCCTTTTTTTTTTTTGTTATCATAGGTACGGGCTTATCAATTTGATTTATCCTCTCAAAGAACATATTCTTAGTTTCATTGATCTTTTCTATGGTCTCTGATTTCTATTTCATTTATTTCTACTTGTAATTTTATAATTTCCTTGCTACTACCACTTTATGTCTTGATTATTAGTCTTTTTTTAGTTGCTTCAGGTATAACATTAAGGTGTTTATCTTGGATTTTCCTTGTTTCTTAATGTGGACCTGCATTGTAATTATCGTCCTACTTAAATTAAGATTGTTATTGCTTTCTAGGTCATAAATTATGATAGTTTGTATCCTTGTTTTTATGAGTTTTGAGTTTTTTTTAAATTCTGTTTTAATATCCTATTTATGCCAATGCTATTAAGCAAGATATCATTTACTCTCCATTTATTTGAGATCTATAAAACTTTAAAAATTGTTTTATACATGCAAATGTCTTCCTATCATTTTTTTCTAGTATATATCACAATATTTAAAACTCATAGTATATAAAATATATTGTTATCTATTGCTCTGTAATATTTTGGTCAGTGATTCCTCTATTAGATATTAACTTCCTAGAAAGTGCAGAGACCTGTTTGGAGCTCTTGTTGTATCTGGGACAGTGTCACATATATAGGAGGATCAACAAGTACTTACATTAATAGATGTTTGTTGAGATTTGCAATTGTGCTGACACAGATGAATAGATGTGATCACAAATGAAAGTTGAACATATTATCCTTTTGCAGCTAGCTGAGAATTAGTTTTGAAGTTGAAGGGAATAGCGATTCCTTATGGAATTGTAGTTCCACTTAGAACCACAGGAAAAATAAAATATTACATTCTATATTATTTTAATATTAATATTACAACTGCATAGTATTACTATTACATTAATATTATATTACTATTACAGTGTGACTGAAAAAATCTTTCAATTAAATGAAAGAAATGAAGCTTGCTTTAAGTTCTTTCTTTTTCTTTTCCTTCTTGTTATGATTAAACTAAAAAGAGCCAATTTAGAATGCTTCTTTACTTTAGAACACAATTCAAAACCTCTCCTTGCCACTTTTGAGAGATATATGTTGGTTCTGTTTTTGATGAAAATTCTAATTGTTATGATTACCAAAATAATAGGATAATTTGTATATACTAAATTATATTGGGACATTCCTCTGGAGGATATGGAAGAAAGAAATGCCCTACAAGTTGTAATAAGTTGAACTGGATTTTCACTGAGATTCACTCTCACTTTGCTGGGCTCTACAAAGGATCTGAATGAGAGCCAAAGGTTGTTTCTGAAAGGAAAATGGATTTTTCTGTAAGATACAACAGGAAGTTGAAGCTTTGAAACAAGAAGATTTATGTACCTTATTCAGATTTTTAGATGTGAAAAGAGATGTGCACTGGCTCCAAAGAGTGGTGGTTAAAGAAAATGCAATGCAAAGTGCATGGGTCAGGAATATGATGTGTAAGCTGAGGGTTTAATATCTGTTTCAACTACTTATTTGTTTCAACTACTTACTAGTTCTGTGATTTCTATCAATTCTGAAACTTTCTTTCTTTTTAGTGTGATAAAGACTTGGGAAATTTCTATTCATTTATAAATGTTATCAGCTAAGAAGATCACTTGACAGCTAAAAAACTGTAAACTTTAATAGAGTTCAGCAATATTAAGAGAAACTGAGCTTCATGTTAGTAATAAAATGAGCCTGAAACATAGCAGCTACTTAACATAGTTGAATAAATGCATCAGAAAAATGGACTAGAAATAGGGACCAAGATCAAGGAAACCTTCAAGTCAGGAAAGTAGGAGGCAGAGGGAATTTAGGAAGGCGGGTGGAAAGTGTGCTCTTCACCCTGGACTTGGGTGAAGGGGAAAGCTGAAGAATCATTAACTGCAGTATTACAGTCCTAACAACCCAAAACTTTGAAGGCACATTAGAAGGCACATTTAAAGAACATTAGAAGGCACATTTTAGAGAATTAAAATTCATAGTATTAATACCTACTCAAATATATGTTAAGCAACATATTTGAACATTTTCACTTATATTTGAGGCAGCTATAATGAAGGGGTAAGGAGGAGCTGTGTGAGATCAGTATAGGTAGAGTCAAACAGACCAGAGTTTAAATCCAAAGTACCAATCACTAATTGTATAAATTTTGACAAAAATAAATAAACACCAAGCAAACCCAACTCTTTGATGCATCTAAAAAACCAAGACTTTAATTCTGAGGAACAAAAATCCCAGTACTTACTTTTTTAGAATTGTTTTGATAATGAAATAAGTGCATACAATATATAGAGAGGACCTAACGTGGCTTTTAAAATTTTCTTATTAGCATCATTATTGCTTTTGTTGTTATTGTTTGTTGATTAGTTGTACAGACAAGATGTCTGTACCAGCCAAATCAATATTCTTGCCTTCAGATCAAGAACATGTAGTTTGTAGGGTAAATTGCTTCTTTATTTTTGCATTTTCTTTCACTTGTAACACTTTATCACTAACACATAGAAAAGTGGACCACTTCACACGTTAGACTTTGGAACTGGCATGGCTGTGATTTGGCCAGGAAAGCCCATTATCAATAAAACTTATAGTCACTAATTTAAAAAAATCTAAAAGAAATTCAGTCTTGTGAAATGTGTTAGATTGTTAGGTAAACGTTTTAGCTAGATTTGAAATTACCTTCACCTCCAGGAGGTTCTGACAATGACAGAAACAGGCTTCCGTTTGTCATAAGTGATTTCCCTACTCCTCCTTAAACTCCTTGGTCATAGTTTTGATTCTACCTCAAAATTTAGGAATCCAGCAGACTATTTTATTTGAGCTCAAAGGTGATAAAGTATAGGAGCAGGGTAGGTCCACAACAGATGATGATGAAAGAAGATTAAGGTTTCACTTCTAATTTTTAGTCAAGCTTTCAACATAAGGAAATTGTTTTCAAGTACTTAAAGCAATCTAGCTCCACAATTACAGAGACAAAGCATGATTTCTACAGAAAAAGGGTGCCCTCTCATAAAATTCTGTGTGGATAAAATCTAGGAAATACACTCAGGTTAAGTCCTGTGATCTAAGTTATGAAAATGGAGTGTGGTGCATACAAGTGTGTATAGGATGTGTTGGTTTGTTTGTCTCAATAATACAGAGAGCGCCTTAGGCGAGACTGAGAAACTGTGGGGAGTAATGTAAGGTGTTCGGATATACTACACAGAGGATAAGGTGTGACTGAGACAAGGCTGAAGTCGAACAAAGGCACCGTCGGGTGGTAGAAAGCAATCTCAAACGTTTAGGCTTACCGGCAGGAAGACCAAGAACGGTCGGAGCTTGCGGCGGCCGCGCCGCTACGCGGGAGGCACGCCTCCTCCGAAGCCCCGCCCTCCTAAACCCCGCCCCTCATCCTCGGACCAATAGGAATCAGGGATGTTAGCGGGTGGGAGGTGCGGCCGGGTTGCTACAGCGAGAGTTGGGCGGCGGCGGGCTCTGCCTGAGGAATCTCACCGACCGGGAGAAGGTGGCGTAATGGAGGGTATGGAAGGTGAGGAGGTGAAAGGATGCCGATCGGGCGTCTAAGGCGAGCCCAGAGAAGCTTGGGGTTGTTGGGCACCAGCACCGGGGAGTCCAGGGCAGGTCCAGAGCGGCGGAGTCCGCCGCGTCTCCCGCGGCCGGGTCCTGTAGGAGCCCGACAAACCCAGTCGCCGCGGAGCTAATGATCCCTCTGGCTACCCCCGCTTCCGAAGGTTCTCAGCTGGGGTTTCCTACCCGGAGCCGGTCCTGCTAGGAGTACTCAGCCTCGAGCCGGTTTCAGGATAATTTTCTGGTCTTGCCTGACACCTGAGTATCAGTTTGGTAATCACAGCCTTCGATCAGATTTTATTCTGCAAAGTGGACTCCGTTAATGTCCACGGCCTTCTACCGCCTATGGTTGCTGGGGCCCGGGGTGTGTCTTCAATCTCTAGCTTCTGACAGTTTCGTTGGCCAGTTTTCCTTGATAACAAGCAACCCTCCCCCCCTTCTCCCCTCCTTCTATGGCATTTTCTATCGGAGGGATGCCACGAGCATCTTCCAAGGAATTGTCACTGGCCAGCTTTATTGCCGGGACAATAGGCAAACAGAAGGATTTAATGGTTTATTAGGACGCTCAATAAGGAAGACCCAGCATTGATTTCTTAGCTTTATTTGGGCTTATTCTTATGTTGTGACCATGACTCCAGATTTTGCTTTGTTCCTAGTTCTTTCACTTTTTCTCTATTCTCTACCCTTTTTATCCTGTGTAATACAACATTCGCTTAAAAACAACAAAGGAAAACGCCCAACTAGCATTGGCAGTAACAGTTCCAGGGATATTTTTCAAATTGCGTTTAATCCTTCGGATGAGAAACAAATCTTTAGAACTGAAAGAGCCTACTGTTTTGATTTCGCTTTTTTTCCCCTTCTTAATTTAAATAGATCCAGGCTGCATTAAACATAAATTGAGGCGTGAACCCTGTGTAGTGTTGTATGCTAGAGAGTAAAATATTTCAACTTGTGGTCTGAAGTGAAAAGTGGTTAACTGGTAACTTTTTGCAATGACCTAAACTCATTAATGAGCAGATATAATAACGAATACCAGAGTATTTCTTAATCTTGCTCTGAGGTGAAGTTCCTTTAGTAAATAAATACTTAGGATAATGGATAATCAGGAACTCTGATAGTTTTCTATTTGTGGGTAGCTGCAATATATTATGACTTGTGAAGGTTTTGGTATTGGCTTATTTAATTTACTTTAGGCAGATTATTCAGATTTCTGTAAAATGGCAATTGTAATGACTACACTCCTTCCTTTTAAGATATTTTTATGTAGCTGATTCCTGGAGGTAGGCTTTTGTTTGTTGCTATGCAGAGAAGATATTCCTATCTCCTCATATTACTCTTCTAAATTTTCTGGCCCCAGAAATTTTCAAGTTTTAATATGAACAAAAAAAGACAATTTTCAGATTTGAATTTAGGAATTTTATTTCTGTTCTGAGAGAATTCCAGCGAAACAACTGTTAAAACCCAGAGTTCCCAGGTTTGCAACAACTGTTAAAACTCAGAATTCCCAGGTCTCTAGGAATCATCAGAGAATGAGACTCACTCAGACATAACTATAAACTGGAAGTTGAAATAGATCAGATTCAGCTTTTTTTTCTTAAGTACTGAAACTTGTAAAAGTATGGCACATTCAGTGTTATTATAGATTCTGGAATTCACATAAGGTTAACATAATACAATAATGTGCTTTAGAACAGTATCTGCAGATTTTTAATTTGTAATTAAGATAAATATCTTTATCTGGTTTTAAAATTCTTTATGCTAAGCACCTAAAACAGTGTCTGACACAGTAGGTACTTAAAACTATTTGCTGTTAGCTAAGTGGCTTTTGTCTAGAGATGCAACAAAGAATAAAAAGTCAAAGCTCTGCTCTCATTGAGACTGTGATTTAGTAATAAACCTTAATTTTAGCAGTAGTGAGACATTAATATTCAAGTCTTTACTAAGAATGCTTTCAAAATTAATAAAACCTATACAATATTCAATTACGTAGAGAAATACACGAATTCTAATGAAGTATAGTGGGCAAGTTTTATGGGCCCACTTGTGATGGATACTGTTAAGCAATACTGTTCTTTGCTCATTTGATTTTTTTTTAAGATTTATTTATTTATTTTGTGCGTATAGAACTGGGGCATTTGATTTTTTTTTTTTAAGATTTATTTATTTATTTTGTGCATATAGAACTGGAGTACAGGCCAGAGGTGCAGGGGCTGTGAGAGGATTCACCAGAGACTTAAGGGAGCAGACCCAGGAAGTACTCTGCTCCCCGCTGCTGAGGGGCGCCATAGCAGGTCTGGAGAGGTCTGCTGCCATGTGGTCACCTCCGGGGCAGACTGGGATGGAACTCCTACAGAAGGGCTTTAGCTTCTTAATGTTGTATTTAACCTGCTGTGCCACCAGGGAGGGCCTGATTTTTTTTTTTTTTAACAAAAGAGGGTACTGTCATTAATGGCAATGTGTTTAATTATATTATAAACTGTTAGGGTGAAATAAATGGAATTATCCTTTTTGTGGGGAACACAGTTGAATATTGCTAGTTATAAATGGTTAAAACTGATAAAATAAAAATCTGACCATTTTCTGTTAATGTTAGTACATTTCCTTTCTTTTTTTAAGTTAGCCCCTATTAATTCACACTTTGCCAAGATCTGAAATTTGAGTCTTAAAGTTTGCATTCATTAATTCATTCAGTCATTCCTTCATTTAATAAACATTGATATATTGAGGGGCCTCCTTGGTGGCGTAATGGGTTAAATTTCAGAACTATGAAGCCATCCCCAGTCACTACAGCATGAATTTGAGGTGACCTGCATGGCGTGGCAGACCTTTCCTGACCCTTTCAGTGCTCCTCTCAGCAGTGTATTTCAGTATGTCTGCCTGTTCTGCTCCCTACTTTGTCTCTGGTGAATCCTCTTACCTGTGCAACTCTGGCCTACACCCCAGCTTTTGTATGCATAAATAAATAAATCTTTAAAAAAATAAAATAAGGCCCTCCCTGGTGGCGCAGCAGGTTAAAGCACTGCACTGAGAAACTGAAGCCACCTCCGCATGAGTTCGATTCCCGCCTGCCCCGGAGGCGACCACATGGCGAGGCAGACCTCTCCTGGCCGCCCGCTGCTCCCCTCAGCAGTGTACTTCGTCGATCTGCCTGTTCTGCTCCCCACTCTGTCTCTGGTGAATCCTCTCACCCTCCGCATCTCTGGCCTGTACCCCAGTTCTGTACGAATAAATAAATAAATCTTTAAAAAAAAATAAAAATAAAATAAAATAAACATTGATATATTAATAGATAAGTTCATATTTTTGCTCTATTTGAAGTTAACATCTGGCGCTTTCAAGGTATCAGAACCATATTGCAGTATCCAATAGAAAATCTTTTAAGAGTTGCTTAAATGGCATAATAATTGAGTAAATATTGTATTATTTGGCATTAGGCTCATGTTTCTAGTCACCAAACTAGACTTAATTGTAAATCAAAAAATAAATAAATAACATGGACTCTTGAAACATTTTATTGAAGGTAATTGTACTTTTTTATAACTTTAAATTACTTACATGTAGATCATAAACCACAAATTTAGTTTGTCTAGTGTGACTTTTATGCTTACTTGATTGTAAAGAGATGAACTGTTGGACTGTATTTCAAAACCAAATCTAAATTACTGGTCTTGATTTTGTATAGTCTGTATCTGAGCACTATATATGAGTAATTAGAGCTTTTAATTTTTCACCTAAAGTTTATGCCCCATAGGTATATCTAAGGGCAGTAGGAGTTAGTTATAGACTCAGCAGAGTTCTAATCTCTCAGAAATTTTCAACTGTAAAATGGAGACTGATAAACACTGAATAGATTTTTTTATCTATATATGTAACATTCTCATTCTTTTAATATTTTTCTGATAAACCATTATTAACAGTGTAACAGAGATCAAGCTGCCCATTTTTCTTTTGCACTGCTGAATTAATAAATGTTAGTACTGCCCTCTAAATCATGATTAAAAGTCTGATTGCTCTTTTCTAATTGTAGGGTGTCATCCTTCAATCCCCCATTTAGAATTTCCTTTTATGTTTTGTTTAATGTTTTTGTTTAAATACATAGTACATCTTTATTAATTTGTCTCACACTCACTAGGGTTTTTGTTTGTTTGCTTGTTTTAGTCCTGATTTGGGTGCTAAGTATGTTTAAGTAGCAATGTATTGGAGTCTTAGAATCTTTGCTTTGTTTCTTTTTAGCTCTATGATTTGGGTAATTTACCTCATCTGAACCTCAGCTTCTTCAGCAGTAAAACTGGAGCCATTAAATAGTTGAACTATGTTAGATTTTAAATATTCATAAGGCATTTAGTGAAGTGCCTCACACATTTGAGGCACTCTCAGTATTTGTTTACCAGATGGTTAAAATCACAGAAAGTGTGTTAGGAGCTTAAGAGTAGTGCTTGGGTACTTAGTATTGTAGGTGGTCACTAGGTAACTGGCAGCAGAATAGATTGGAGAAGAGAGAAATTGGAAACACATTTGCAATGAGCAGTTGAGCTAAGGCAAAAGTGACAGGAATTAAAGAGGGAAGATAAATTTAAAAGACATCTGAGATGGAAATGAGATATGACTGCTGGATGTAGTAGAGAAAAGGAGCCAAAGATAAAGCAGTTTTCTAGCTTGGCCTGAGAGGTCGTTAATACAATCTTTAACCAAAGAGGAAGACCAACTTTGGGAAATGAGGTAATGCTTTTGGCATTAGAATTGTACTTGTATAGTACTGAGTGGGGAGTTGGTGAAAAGTCTCTTAGGTACTCAGAAGTATCTATCTGGAATTTTTAGTTTAGTAGCCATCAACTTGTGAGTGATAGCAAATGGATGCATTCACCCACCAAAGCTATTTTTAACAAAATGAGGGAAGAAATTTGTCAGGAATTGATGTTTTAGTTTGATCAGGAAAGTAAATTGAAGTCAGGAGGAGTCTTCAAAGAGTTTTTAAAATTGTCAAAGGGAAGTAGAAGGAGAAAATAGTTATTTTTGTGTTTATTAAGTAGTGAATATGTGCCAGAAAAAGCCTACAGTACCTAGTATTCTTGGCTGTCTGAGTACAAAGCCAGTTAAACCATCTTGGTCCATAAGATATGAAAAACTTGAGGTTAAGAGAAAGAAATATGGAAACTAAGAAAAAGGACTCAAAGGTTTGAATTATAATGGCCTATACCTCAAACTTAACAAGCAAATGTTACTGCAACAAAATAAAAGAGATTTAGAAGACAATAAAAAGATGGATAGAATTGACATATAGTACTTCACACTGTAGAAATGACAGAGGCTTTCAGTACCCAAAGAGGACCTTGAATTTGACAGTGGGTAAATGGTAATCACTTACCTCTTAAGTCTCTATTCTGTTTCTTCATGAAATAAAGAAGCTTTTCCTGATCTATCACTTTCCTTTGTCCCTTTACACTGGTCTGTTTTCTACATTAGGCTTATCATCCATTGATTTATATTTATTTTTTCTTCTTTATTAGAAGAACAGCAACTCCATAAGATTATCATCATCATCTTTTTTTTTTTTTTTTTAAATCAGTTTTCCTACCTCCTAGAAGAATTTCTTTCTCATGTTGTTAGGGGCTTAATAAATACTTGTATCAATTAATCTGTTTTAATATGGTCCTTATCTGTAGTTCAGATAAGAGAGAATGAAGAGCTACTCAGTAAATGTAAACCAGTGATTCCAAAAAAGACACACTGGTCCTAAATATCTCATAAGGGTAGAAAGGATATCTATTGTGGGAGATAACAACATAGTAAATTCCTTTTTTAAAGCTGAGACATTTCTCTCAGTGCTGTCTATCAAGTGCTGGCAGCATGAGTTGAATCACCTGGCTTGGGAGCTAACATACATGCTAAAACGAAGGCATTTTTTTAGCCAACTTTACAACTTAAATATCTTGGTTATGAAGAAATAGTTTCTGCTAATCCCAAACTAAGCTTTGAAAGGTTTATTTGTTGAAGAAAGAACAGTCTTATGGCTCAACACAAAATACCTTTATTCAGCAAATCTTTGATTTAACTTAAAAAAATGCTCAGTTTGGCCTTTTCTGGTGGTGCAGTAGGTTAAAGCACAGCACTAAGAAGCTAAAGCCACCTCAGCATGACTTCGATTCCTGCCCCGGAGGTGATCCACATGGCATGGCAGACCTCTCCTGACTCACCCACAGTCAGCCTGTTCTGCTCCCCACTCTATCTCTGGTGAATCCTCTCACGGACCCTGCACCTCTGGTCTGTACTCCAGCTCTGTATGCATAAATAAATAAATCTTTTTTAAAAATGCTCAGTTTAAATATTAACTACTTCAACAACCCAATTTAGTTAATTTTCCTTAAAATGTATACAGTATACTTGAAAATCAAGAGAAAACTATAAACATTTTGTGGTTTTGCTAGAAATAGAGTTCATTTCATCATTCAATGTCTTCCAATACCCATTTCTGATGCTTTCCATAAATCTCAGCAAAGTAAATTCATTTACTAACAATAAAAAGAAAATCTGCATTTTGAAATTAAAGTGCAATATTAGATTTTCTTTGCCAACTGACAACTTGAATTTTTTGCAGTAGTGATCATTAATTTATTCTTGGGATTACAATTTTTATCTCTCATTAAAAAAAATCAATTGCACATTGTTCCTTTAATGGAACAGCTGGATTCTTTAAAATTAGGTTTTTCCACTTCTGTACTATTCCATTGAATTTGGAAACACTGTAGAAATTAATATTGATATAGAACAAATGCATGTGATTCAGAGACCTAGGATATCGCACTTCCTAAAACACATCACTTCATGACACCACACCTGCCACCAAGGCTTCCACAGCCCTTGACCTTAGTCCTTTGTGCCCCCCTCACTTTGTTTTCCCCTTTCTTCCTCCCTGCCTTGTAGCCTCAATATCACAGTCATATTTCTAAGGTTTTGTTTTTTATTAGTTTGGTCTGTCTGACCCTTTGTTTTCTCTCTGTAAGTAAAGCCATCTGGTATTTCTCATTCTTCTGACTTATTTAATTTAGTTTATTCCGATCAGTTTCATCCATGTCGTCACAAATGACAAATGAACTCTTTTTATGGCTGAGTAATATTCCATGTGGATATATGTCATTTTTCTATTCCACTTCTCTGTCTTAGATTGTTTCCATAGCAGGGCTATTGCACATGGTGCTACAGTGAACATCAGAGCATATATCCTTTTGAGATGGTGTTTTTGTGCTCTTCAAGTAGATACTGAAAAGTGGAGTATGGTATATCTTTTTAAGATTTTTAGAAAGTATCTTGCTGTTTTCCAGATGTGGCTGGAATCTGCATTCCTACCAACAGTGTAAGGTTTTCTTTAACACATCCTCACTGACACTGTTTTTGGTATTTTTGATATGGGCTTACAGGTGTGAGGTGGTATTTCATTGTAGTTTTGATTTATATTTTCCTGCTGATATCTCATGATGGACTTTTTTTTTCTTCATGTGCCTGTGGAACCATCTGTATGTCTTCTTTGATGAAATGTCTCAGTTTTTCTATCCATTTTTCAATTGGGTTGTTTTCTTTTTATAGAGTTGTATGAAATCTTTATAGAACTTTTATATCTGCCCATTGCCAGATATATGAATTACAGATATTTTCTCTCATTCAGTTGCTTTTTGTTTATTGACAGTTCTTTTTGTACAGAAGCTTTAGTTTGACATAGTCCCACTTGTTTCTTTTGCCTTTTTTTCTCTTGCTGTTGGAGGACAGTTTGCAAAAACATCAGTGAAATCATTGTTGTTTGTTCAAATACCATTTTTAGAAATATAGGGATACAAATGACTTTAGGTTTTATATCTATATAGAAAATTAAACAACAAAACAACTCAGGTGTGTAAAATCCTGAGGATTATAGGGTTTTCTTTTGTCAAATATCATTTATTTGCAGTTGCATAATAAATATATTAAATTTTGAGTAACAATTTCAGCTGTCACTTATTTAATGAATTGTGCCAATGAGATTAGAATTATCTGATTGTAAACTATGAATTTTGACATAATATTATAGGTATAAAGTAATTAGCATTTCTTATAATATAGGCAGTTTGCATACTAACTAGGTGATCTTTTCCTTAAAGCATCCTACTTCCGTTGTTTGTTGTTGAGCTTAAGATTATTTTTATTCTGGACTTCCTAGATCATCTCAGAGTGAACGAGTCACCCGTGCAGTTTCTTAATGTTCAATAATACATAATATTAACCTTAAGATGAATTTGTTTTTAAAATTTATTAACTTACAATGGAGAGAAATAGATAATGTGAATTAAGAGAATAAAATGAATTGATTTTGTTAAAATAACTAAAAGAAAGCACGATGTGTCTTGTGTTGTCAGTTATGTTATTCCTAAATAATGTCTTTTCTATATTTGACATGACCTTTTTGACTACTGATAACTAACTCTTATGCCCATTTTAATGGGTAATGTGACTTGTTTAAAGATGATTTTTTTATGAAACTAAGAGAAAACATTAAAATTTGAAATTTCACAATTAGAATTTCTCTTTTAGAAAATGGAAGTGTCCAAGTTGGAGAATTGTTACCTTGCAAGATTTGTGGAAGAACATTCTTTCCAGTGGCATTAGTAAGTAGCTTTTTCCTTTGGGTTTGATAGTTCTGTAATTGTTCGGTAATTCAGGACAACATTCATGGAAATAAACTCTGTTGTTAAAGAGATGCTGGGTATTTCTTTGTTCACAAGTATCAGTTCCATCAATGTCTTTCTTCCAAAGAAGTGTCTTTCCTTCATGGTTTGATCCTCCATGCTCATCAAGGGTTAAAGTGTTGTTCTCTTTGTGTTAATAAGAAAATCTCTTGGAAATACGCAGTAATGCATTTAAAGATATGGAATGTTACTGTGTTTGAGATTTGTGTTAAAGTACTTCAGGAAAAAAACTAGAATGAAACAAAGTTGCTAAAATGTCAATAATGTTAAAGGAGGGAGATGAGTAAATGGGAGTACATTAGATCCTACTCTGCCAGTTCTTATGTATATCTGAAAATCGCCCAAGAAAAAATACTGTCTTTTCAATTAAAAGTGAACCTAAATTAGATTATATATTCTTTACCTTAGAAACAAGGTACAGACAAATAGAAGCACCTTGTACTTATCTTCATAAAAGTAACTAAATGGAGAATAACAAAAAGTACCTATTATCTTTAATATTATATCTTAACTTCAATATAAATATGCATTTATTAATATTTTGATTGAACACTTTCTTTGAGTGTACATAAGCTGATTAGCATTCTGCCACAGTCCATTTTGTATCTTCTGGTTATTTCTAGTTTTTTTCTTTATAGCAAAACAAGGCATTAATAACCCATGATGTCTACTTTACTATAGATCCCTTTAATGTAGTTTTTGACAACTTTTTTCTTAATTCTTTAAAAATATCATACTTATACTTGTCTGTGATTATCTGTTATCAATTCATGATTTTTCAAACATTTTCAAAGCATTCAGCTGAGCTTTCATAGGGGAAAATGCCCATTTTGCCTTCATTTATTGTTTTCACATTTAATCAAATAATATAATCACTATAACAATTAAAATTTGTACAATCAGGGTTGGGAACAAAACACCATATATACCGTTTGACTTGTACATCTCAAGATATGGGAATAGTTGTCCATGGCTACACTAGGAAGTCGTCTGTAAAATACATTTTAAAAACAAACAAACCAAAAAAGACACCTTTTCAGTGTTTATCCAAATGCAGTGGTATCCTCAGTCAACATGTTTTGCTTAAGGGAGGGAGAATGATTATCCAGTAGGTTAATTGGAATATATTTAAGAGAACCTTCATTTTAATGTCCTTAAAATTTATGAATCAATGACTGCATGTTAAAGTGGTGGCCATGTTAAAAAAAAAAAAAAAAGCAAATAGACATGGAAGACTAGTAAGCTCAAGAAAAACATCCTTCGTCAAGAAAGGTAGAATGCTTGAGTTCCAGAAGGTAGAAATGAAACACTAACCTGGCCTCTTTTGCCTATTTTATTAGTTTTTTACTAACAGCCTACTATGATGTTAATTTGTTATCATCTTAACACTAATGTATTGTCCTTTCACATTCTTTCTCTGGTGTCAATTTTTAGGTATTTGGTGATGAAGATAACTTTTTTTCACTGCTGTAATTTTGACTTGGTTGCATTATTTCCTTTCGCATTGTGAGAAATAGGAGAATATTCTGTTATGAGAAAGGCAACTTATAGCACATACTGTATATTTTTATTTTATTTAAAGCCAAGTATGTCTTAGGTATTTAAGTATTATTTATTTTATATTCAAGATTTTATACTGGTCTCAAATGACAATTTAAGTGATGTCTTACAGTCCATCCTTCTGTCATAAAGAAAATCACGTTCTCTCTAAATTTTAACAGAAAAAACATGGACCCATTTGCCAGAAAACTGCCACTAAAAAACGGAAGACTTTTGATTCAAGCAGACAAAGAGCTGAAGGAACTGATATTCCAACAGTAAAACCTCTCAAACCTAGGGTAATTATATAATCTTAACAGTAAAAGCCTTGCTACTGTGTATATTGAACACACAAATATTTTTTCAGTGCATGTGTATATACACACATATTATTTATACACGTTTATATGTATAAATTTATCTTTGTGTGTGTATGTGTGTGTAGAACAGATATGAATTTATCTGTTATGCTAAGATGCCAATGGTATGAGAGAACATTTAAGTTTCATTTTCAATTTATTTCAAAACATGTTTTGAAACTGGTTTGTCTTATTTTTAGCCTGAACCACCCAAGAAACCATCCAATTGGAGAAGAAAGCATGAAGAATTCATTGCTACTATCAGAGCTGCTAAAGGCCTTGATCAAGCACTTAAAGAGGGTGGGAAACTTCCTCCTCCTCCTCCACCTTCTTATGACCCGGGTATGTAGAATATTGGTGACATTGATAAAATATAAATTTTCAATCATTAATAAACTGATGGAGCACAATCTTTAAAATCTTTATTATAAAAGTAAGCATGTAAGCTCATAAGAGACATATTAATGTTGAACAGAGATATACATTGTCTTTTCACCTTAATACTTTTATTTAACAAAGTATTATTATATCCTTAACAATTATTATACTAGTTGTTAAATAGTTATATTCCAGAATATACTTTCATTATGCTCACTTTGAATTGAAATATAGTTAATTATTAAGACTGAGAAATTTATGTTGCCTAATCCTTTGGTATCTTATCTGGAAAGAAAAAAAATTGTAGTACTGCTTTTAAAATATGTGATTCATGTGGAGAAACTATCTTACAGACTGATATACCTAATTTATGTCTTATATGTATGTGTTAATTTATTTTTATCATTGGGTAGTTAAAAAGTTGCTTTTCCATTGTTACTAAAAGGAAAGCCAGAAGTTGATAATCCCATGTTAGTAATACTGAGATACTGAAAACATAAAATAGCATAGTTGACACTTTGACACTGTTTATTACTTTTCATGTCATGAGGGCTCTATTGCAATTACTTAACTGCTACTGTTACAAGATACCAGCCAGACAATATGTATGGGTGCCTTCCAATAAAATTTTATTTTTAAAACAGGGAACAGGCAGACTGAATTTGGCCTCTGGCCCTATTTTGCCAGCTCTTTCTTAGAGACTTAACTTTAATTAATTAGCTTTGATTCTGACATTATTCTGGGATATTCCATCTAGACTTAAACTTCTTTTAATACCACCTTAATTTTCCCCCATAAGTTAAATTCTCTCTCTGCTTTGGAGGTATTTTTACACAGCATCTTAATCAATTGACTATAGTTCTCAGGTTTATAGCAAAAACAGGGTACCATTTTTTCAGCATAATTGGGGCTTAAGAATCATTTTAAATATTTTAGTACAGACAAAGTAACTTTTGTGACTAGAGAACTTACACCTACTCCATTCATCTTAGCAGGACAAATTTCTGAAGTTGATAAACATGTTTTCTAAAAATGAACTACTTTCAACAAGAAAACCTATTAAATTAATTCAGATTTTTTTACACTAAATTTTATATTTGTATTTATCCTTGATGTCTCATACAGTTGAGATCTTTTATAACGCTACAAATGTGTTTATGTCTGTGATATTTTTGAGATTTAATTTTAAAAGAAATTTTATTTGCATTATACCTTGCATTTTGGGGAAATATATAATCTTTGGAAATGCCTTTTTTTTAATTTGAATTAATTATGTTACTGAGATATTTTTATCACTTCCTCCAACTGTTGGGATCTCTAAGACAAAATAAAGCTATATTTAAGTGACTTTCTGCATTTTCTTTAATTCAAATAAAGGATTTTAACAGATGATCTCAAAATTTTAAATGTATTTTTAGTATATAATGTATTATTATTGTTTAGTCTTTCATATACATATATAAAACAGAATGACAGAAGCAAAAGAAATTATTTTTTCTCTACTTTTTCATTCTTTTATATTGAGGATTTGTCTTTTGTTCATTTTTTCCCCTCAAATGTGATTTTAAATTTGAAGAAAATGATAGCTTAACATCTACGAGCAGACTTTTTCTTAAACATTCTTACTGAGCTTAGATTAAGTCATGTTGGATGATAATAAGGACATGAAATATCCTATTTATCTGATGCTATTTACATTTTACATCTTTTTGTTCATTAAAATGTAAAATTATTTAGTTCCATTTCAAGTATTATTAATGTTTCTTTTTTATCTGTTTAGATTATATTCAGTGTCCTTATTGCCAGAGAAGATTTAATGAAAATGCAGCTGATAGACATATAAATTTCTGTAAAGAACAGGCAGCACGTATTAGTAATAAAGGCAAATTTGCTACTGACATTAAAGGAAAAGCAACTTCTCGAACACAGGTAAAATGCTCAGTTTTAATTATTTCTACAAATAAATGTGAAAATTACTCATTTAAATTAGGTATTTATGCTTTACAGACACTTAACTACAAGAAAATCCTTAAAAATAGGTGAGACAGTCAGTCTATATACTACATTGTCATCAAAAGTCCAGTTTCCATTGTTCACCATACAGTTGATCCATTTATCCTACTTACAACCCCCAATTTTCCCTTCTGGGGACCACTATTTTGTTCTTATAGTCTAAGAGTTTGATTTGTTTTGACATTAGTGCTATTTTTCATGTATGCATAAAATCATAGTGTTTGATTATACATTTGACTTGTTTTATTGAGCATAATGCTCTCTAGGCCCATTCAGATTGTTGCAAATGTCAAGATTGCATTTTTATTTTATAACCGAGTAGTGTTGCATTTTGTGTGTGTATATGCCACATCTTCTTTATCCAGCCAGCTGTATGTGGGCAGTACCCCAGTTCTGTAAGCATAAATAAACTCTTGAACTCTTGAACATTGTAAATAATGCTGTGATAAATATATGTATGTATTTCTTCAAATAAGTGTTTCCATATTTTCTGGATAAATAATCAGAAGTGTCACAGTCTGGGCTGTATGGAATTTATATTTTTAGTTATTAAGGAATCTCCGTACTGTTTTCCATAATTGGCCAATCCGTAATTGGCCATTAGCAGTGTAGAGTGTTTCCTTCTCTCCATAGCCTCACCGACACTTATTTCTTATATTTTGAATAATAACCTTTTTCATACATGTGAGGTGATAGATATCTCATTGTTTTTATTTGCATCTTCCTGATAACTAGCAAGATGAAATCTTCTCATGTACTTGTTTTTGATCTGTATGTCTTTTTGGAGACGTGTCTGTTCAAATCCTCTATTTTTTAATTGGCTTGTTTGTTTTTTGTTGTTGAATTTTATGAGCTCTCTTTATATATTTGGGTTACACACCCCTTCTCAGATGTGTACCTTGTAAATATCTCCCATCCAACAAGATGCCCATTCATTTTGGTGATTGTTTCCTTTACTATGTGGAGGCTTTTTAATTTGATGTAGTCCCATTTGGTTTTTTTTGCTTTTGTTTCACTTGCTGTTGGTTCCAATCTCTAAAGACATCTCTAAGGACACTGTCAAGGAACTTACTATAGTTTTTCTACTATCAATTTCTGGTTATAGTTTTTAAATTCAAGTCTTTAATACATTTTTAAATTAGTTTTTATGTGTGGTGTTAAATGGTGGTCTAGTTTCATTCCTTTGTATACGGCTATCTAGTTTCCTCAACACCATTTATGGAAGAGACTTTCCTTGGTCTATTGTATGCATTTAGCTTCTTTTTCATACATTTTACATATAATGTGTGTATTTCTGGGTCTCAGTTTTGATGTTGTCTGTGGATGTGTTGTATATAGCCTATTTTATGTTAAGGTATGTTCCTGCTATACCCATTTTGTCATTGGTTTTTAGAAGGATATTGCATCTTGTCTTGTTGGTCTGTTGTGATGATCATATGATTTTTGTCCTTTTTGAGATGCACAGTATCACATTATTTGATTTGTGTATGCTGAATCATTTGGCATTTCTGGAGTAAATCTTAGTTGATTATGATACCTGATTTTTTTTAGTATATTGTTAAATTTGGTTTTCTTTTATTCTGTTTAATTTTTTTGCATGTATGGTCATTAGAGATCCTTGCCTATAATTTTTTTTCTTTTGTAATGTTCTTATATGATTTTGAATTGACATAATGTTAATATAAATGTCTTTGGTTTTTGTGGGGGTGGAGTGGGGAATGGGATCAAAAAGGGGGGGTGGGGAGAGAAGCTCACGGGATTATGTTGATGGCACACGGGTGACTTGGTGATGGGAATTCCGCGGGGACTACAATTGAAATGGAAAAGAAAAAAATGTAAAAAAAATGATGTAAAAATAAACTGTAATAAGAAAATAAAAAATAATAATAATAAAATGTCTTTGGAAGTCTGCCCTCAGTTTATTGGAAAAGTCTGAGAAGGATATGTGTTAATTTTATTTGGAAAGTTTGGTAGACTTCACAAGTGAAGCCTAGAACCCTGATTCTGGGCTTCTTTT